TGGCTTGTGACAGTAATTAAATGAGGTACTTAACTCCCGTTCTAAGGATCTAGACTTCTGTAATACCATACCGATAGAGAGTACTATAAAAGGAGCGGTAGCCTAATTTGATGGTATATGACGTGAATACCTAAAACCATGCAAACAGCTCTTCTAATGGTGGCAGCAGGTGGCTTAAGATACAGGTCTTCAGATGGCGGCAGCACCTGGCTTGAGATACAGATTAGAAACTGAAGTAATATCTCGAGGGACACCAAACTGGAAGCAAGAAAAGCACCTACTTCTAGAATACCAATTTGGAAATTATACAAGAAATAAATTAGGAATAATGTAATAAGTGATGAGGGGTTGATTATAACTGGTAGACATTGTACAGTAGTATATATAGTGGGATATATACGAATTAGTAAAAATATTAAGGTTCTAAGTTAAATCAGGACTTAGGGTGCTTCTTGATAGAGGTATCTGAGGATGTCCATCTCACATGTGAGATGGTGCAGGCAGTTGTATCTGGGCACCATATAAGGTAGCCGGGTGAAGTCATTAGAACTACTTAGATAGATTAAAAATATATATATAATATCTGTAATGTTCAGTTAAATAAGTAATAAAGTTAATGACAAAATCATCGAAGTTTAAAAAAAAAAATAATAATAAAAATCTTATAATCATAAACACAATAATATCTATACCACTTTACTACAAAAAAAGCCACACTTCAATTCAATGCTTCAATTAGAAAACTACCCAATAACCTTATAAAGGTAAAAAAAATGCAAAAGCCAAAAGGCCAAAAAGTCAAGAAGGCCACCTCGATCTTTATAAAAGTAAGAAAACCCATTAATAAAGAAGTTTAACATATGTTACCAAACAAATTTATGAAAGCAAAAAATTACCTAATGCTTTAATTAAAGCAAAAACTACACAACACCTTTCTAAGGCAAAAAAAAGCTACCTGTGGTGAAATTGCTTAGCACCTTTATAAAGCCGGAAGTAGAAATAAAGAGCCACGTAATACCTTTGTAAAGCGAAAGGACACCTGGTATTTGTAAAGGAAAGAAATACTGAAAAAATTCAGTCACTACACTTGCGAATCAAAAAAAAAAAACTGACGACTTGACTGAAGAAATTCAGTAGTGTTCAAAGATAAGCCGGCTTATCACAGCTTGCTGCGGCTTATCACGTGATAAATTCGATTTATCACCAAGCCATGTGATATCTTCGAATTTATCACATGATATTTTCGTGATTATCACATGGCTTGGTGATAAATTCAAGTTTATCACGTGGTAAGCCGCAGCAAGCCGTGATAAGCCGGCTTGTCTTTGAACACTAAAATTCAGTCACTACACTTGCGAATTAAAAAAAAAAGACTAACAAATTGATCAAAGCGAGATAAACCACCAAACACTTTAAAGAACCACGTAATGCCTTCGAAAAGTAATAAGATACCTGAAATTGTTGTAAAAACAAGAAGCACTGTTAAAGAAATTCAGCAACTACCAACTACAATTCAAAAAAAAAAGACTAGCATCTTGACTAAAAAAAAGCCACCCACTAAAAGAATTCGTAAAGCGAAAAGACACCTGGTATTTGTAAAGGCAAGAAATATTGAAGAAATTCAATTACTACACTTGCGAATCAAAAAAAAAACTGACGAATTGATCAAAGCAAGATGAACCACCAAACACCTTAAAGAACCATATAACGCCTTTGAAAAGTAATAAGACACCTGAAATTGTTGTAAAAACAAGAAGCACTATTAAAGAAATTCAGCGACTACCAACTACAATTCAAAAAAAAAAGACTAACGCCTTGACTAAAAAAAAGCCACCCACTTTTGTAAAAGAATTCGTAAAGCGAAAGGACACCTGGTATTTGTAAAGGCAAGAAATACTGAAGAAATTCAGTCACTACACTTGCGAATCAAAAAAAAAAGACTAAAGTCTTGATCAAAGCGAGATGAACCACCAAACACCTTATAAGGAAAGAAAGAACTATGTAATTTCAAAAAGCAAAAACTTCGAAAAGCAATAAGACACCTGGAATTGTTGTAAAAACAAGAAGCATTGTTAAAGAAATTCAGCGACTACCAACTACAATTCAAAAAAAAAAGACTAGCACCTTGACTAAAAAAGCTACACACCTTTGTAAAAGAAATACTTTGTAAATAAAGAGAGCCACCCGACACCTTGTAAATAGTAAGAGCTACCCGACACCTTTGTAAAAATGAAAACTACCCAATGCTTTCGTAAGCGAAAAAAAGTCAATAGTAATTTCGATATTTATCAAAAGTTTATATATGCCAAATTAAATCATGTAATATGGTGCGATATATAATATAGTGTTATATATATAATTTTCTATTTATATTAAACCAAAGCATATTGCCAAATTTGAAAATAAAGAATCCTGGATGTATTATATTTTAACAAAAGTGTATTGCTATATTTGAAAGTAAAAAATCCTAGATGTATTAAATTTTAATAAAAGCATTTTGCTGTATTTGAAAATAAAGAATTCTGAATATATTATATTTCAACAAAAGCATATTGCCATATATGAAAGTATAAAATCTCGGATGTATTAAATTTCAACAAAAGTATCTTGCTATATTTAAAAATAAAGAATTCTAGATGTATTATATAACAACAAAAGCATAATACCATATTTAAAAATATAAAATTTTGGATGCATTAAATTTTAACAAAAGCATCTTGTAATTTATGATGAAATTTGATCACTGATTGATTTTTTTTTTTTTTTTTTTTTAAGTAGTCTTGTCTTTATTTATTCGAACAACTTTCTAGACTATCAACATGTACATAATTTCTTTGAAGTTTAATGTTCTAATCTAATAAAAACTCATCAAGCCGAAGCCCAAAGTGACTTGCTAAAACAACAATTAGTCTCTCTTAGGATCCAAAACTTACTAAGAATTTCATACCGACTTGGGTATACCCTTTGATCACTAACAGGTTGTTGTTCACCATGTCAAGACTGAATTTTTTCTCTTCTAATTTTTCTCTCTTCTCAAAAGGCATGAGGTAAAGGGGGCAAAAAGCAAAAAGAATTTTTCCAAGAAAACGACCAAAAAAGAAAAAACAAACGAAAAAGAAAATAAAAGGTACAGATTGTGAAAAAAGAAAAAAACAGACAGGAAGAAAAAAAGTCCTAACAAAAATGTCAGGTTGTTGTAAAAATTATATAATACTCTTCTATTTAGCTCTACTCTAAATAAAGTCTGCATTATATTTAAATCCACCTTCGGGGTAGAGTTAGCTCTGCAAGAAATTCTTAGATAATCCTCTACTTCGCATCAATGTTAGTCATTATCCTACACGTAGACTTGTAACTCTTGTTTACCTCCTAATTCGTACCCCACCAATAGCAGTTCATCTGGTACTAAAATAGTACAACACGTACTACCGGTTACCATAATTGGGAGTGTTCCATTCCACATCGGGACCCGTAAACAACACAGATCTTTTGGAGGGGGTAAGCCGATTCTCCCACTTTTTGTTAGTAAAAATTTCCTAAAAATCTAAAACCTAGTAGGAATATGGTTGAGGGTGTATGGCTGCAAAGACTTCAAAATTTTCTAAAGAGTGTATTAAAATCCCAAGTTGTTTGTTGTTTCCTCTGTGTTCTTTCAAGAAGTAACAGCCTAAAAGCTTTGTTGACAGATACTACATTCCAGCCTCTCCACCAAGATTTTATATTCAAAGGCACTGCCTGCCAGTTATCTTGAATATCAACGCTCTTGGCTTGCATGCCGAACGGTCTAAAAAGGAGTTCTGAGCAGAGAAAACTATTAATCTCTCGCCAAACTGCAAGTTAGGCTATGACTCTCCAACAAAAACTTGTTTTTCGTTAGCAGAAAATTTGATTCAGGTGATCGATGAGAAGAGTTGATATTGTAATTCATCACTGATTGATTTTGAAAACTATAATAAACCTTATCTCACATTGTAAATATTTAAAAAATTGATAATTAGCTTGTTAATAACTTTTAATTTTAAACCTTAATTTTACAGTTACAAACAAAATAGTTAAAAATCAAGAAGCACTAGCTCAATCCAAACTTAAAAATAAAATCAACCAATTAACCCAGAAGCTACAGCATCTTAAAATATTGGATGATCATGAAATGATTACTGATATTGATAAAGAAAAAAATGAAAAAATTCAAAATGAAATCGTATTATTAGTAAAAGCTTTAAATAAGTTAGAATATTACTAGCAGTTTTAGCAAAAATATAGATGTCAGAAAAAACAAAGATTTTAACTAATTGAAAAACTAATTAAGGAAACAGGTTTCAATACATAGCTTGTTAGACCAACAGTTGGCTGTTCAAGCTTAGAAGAAGCAAAACTAGGCCTATTAGAAACTATTGTTTAAATCATTTCTTCAAATAGACAAGCTGATGATAAAAAACATTCAGAAATAGTATGATCTATCAAAACTTTAGATCAGCTTCAAGAAGCATTAACAAATATGAATTATAAATTATCATGCTTTGCAACATACCTTAGGCTTATTTCAAAATAGCATAATACTGATGAGGGAAAATAGTATGTCAAAACTGTGTTAGTAAAGCTTTTAAAGTTACAAAATATAGCAAAAAAAAGTCATAATGATACTTATTTTTGTGCTGCCTTAATAAGAAACATAAAAGAAATATTATTATTATTGGGTCCAAAGTGTGTTTTAGTAATTTCTCAAGATGACAAAGCATGAATACCTCTTGGTTTAGCTATAGCCAACAAGCAAGGTATTATAATCTAAAATAGAAAAAATTATAATTTAAAATATAGTAAATAAAAAATAAAATCACTAATAATAAATAATCTTGTTTATATAGTGCCAATTATTATGAGGCTAAAATATCAAATAGAGCTTCTGGATAACTGGGTTGTTGCTAAAAAGCACAAGCTGATTTTATCAGTTTATGCAATATTAAATATACAAGATAATAAGTATGAGCATACTAATATGATAATATATTTGGGCCCAATGTTTATAAGAATCTGTAGTGATAAGTATGATAGTAGTACTGCATATTCTTATAGAAAAGATTTTGATAACCTTATAGGTGAGAAGCAATTGTGCAACTATACCACAACAATAGATGAACAACTTAAATCTATAGTGGTAATATTAAGCAATAGTGGTTCTGATGAGAACTCTTGATACAGAAAAACAATTCAAATGATAATTGAACATTTTGATAAATATAACCTTAATACAATTATTGTAGCATGCTTCGCACTATACCAAAATGTATCAAATCTAGTTGAAAGGCGAATAGTGTCTCTAAATCATGACTTAGCTGGTGTCATACTCTCATATGATATATTTGGAACTTATTTAAATTTACAGTTAAAAACAAATGATGATAAATTAAAAAAATGTAACTTTAAAGCAGCTATAAATACTTTAATATCAATATAGAAAAATACAATTATAGATAGCTACCTGGTTCTCATTAAATATATAGATCCTTCTAAAAAACATTACTACCCAAATGAAAAGTCAGAAAATTGAATAGAAAAGCATGTAATAACTTGTCATTATACAACTCAAGTTACAAAATGTGATGATCAAAGCTGTTGCAGACCCTTTTAGAGTAAACTCTAACAAATTTTATTAAATTAGTTTTTTTCTCTATTGATTATGAACTAACAAAAGCCTAATGGAATTTGCATGACAACCATGAATGTATCTAATGATACAATTTACTATTCTAATTTTCTCCTATTTACATTAATGAAAGGAAAATTAATTTTTCTGGATATAAATCTACAGTACTTTTCTTTTAATTGATACTGCCCAACTATCAACAAATCGATTAATGAGTATATTTGTCTCTATTGTAATTAGTACTTTGCTTTAAAAAGAAACTTGAAATACTATACTTAAAAATGTTTATATAAGAAGTCTAACTTATTTGTAGAGCTTTTTCAGATATTCAAGATTTCCAAGTAGGTAATAATATATTTGTTTACAACTATTGACATGGTGAATTCTTGGTTAGTAATGAAAGTAATAAGACCATGCCCAATTGTATATTAGAAACCTATTATCAAAAAATGCAGATTCAAGAAAAGCTAGTTGCAGATAAGGTTTTAATAGTTAATTGAGATATTTGGAAACAATGTAAATGGACAAATGAATTAATGTATTTTATATACATACATATAATGAATTTATTATCTAATTAAGAAAGTTATAAATGTGATACATTTATATATATAGCTTTATAGATGTGATAATACTATATATCACATGTTACTTTTTATAAAATTGCTTCTATATATACCTTATTTTTACTTATTTCATATAGATAGTGGGCTTCCTCTAAAATACTCTACTTTTATTATAGTATTAGTATATTTCAGTAGTATATTTAATAATGATCTATCTATTAAAAATGAAATTTAATATATAGAAAAGATTAACAAATAAACCCTTTATTAAAAAAACTTTTTGCTATATATTTTCTCTGAAAACCATTTATTATTAGCTATCAAGTTAGCAAAAAAATCTGAAGAAAATAAAAATAAAAAAAAATATACAAGGCTATGTATAATCACTATTGCTAATATATTAGTTTTATTAAAAAATCATAATTTGGTTTAATTAAGTAAATATATATTGCTACATATTAGATATATACAATCAGATCTTTTTAAATATATATTTTCTAAAAGTATAGCTTTATTTAACCCAACTCATGATGCTTATAAATTTTTACCTTCCTAAATATATAATTTTTTTGGCACCCATGGCTATATATTTAGAAAGGCCTGATTTGAATATACTAAGTTAATTAGTATTGCTTAATACCGTTGTATTTCATATGATATATAGATATAATGATTTTTTAAGTTCATTTGTTGATTAAAACTTGAATTTGCAAAGTATAAAAATTGTATATATGAGCTTAAACAAGACTAGGTGAAGAAAGACTAAGAATAATAAAAAAAAATCAATAAAACACTACTTTAAAATATAGTATTAAAAAAATATAGTATTTAATTTGAATAAGGTAAGAGCTATAATTATATATATATATACTTATTTTATACACTATAAATAGTCGATTTTGGGTATAACCGGCTAGATTTTCAAATAAGTCAACAATGATAAAGTTGATTATAAATATTTTTAGCTATTATTGTGCCACTTACTATAGTATTAATTAAAACTTGGCTACATAATCATGTATATAAAATATTTTTGCTTTATTTAAAAATAATTAGAATTTGTGAATTCAATATTATACAACATTAGCAAAATATATAAATGTAATCATATGTAAGTTATTATGGACTGAAATCTTGTACAAGAATTTCGCAATGATGCGAAATCTTACACAATTATTAATTACAGAATATTATAAAATATATACGTAATAAATTATACAATATTACACAAATTAAATCACAATAATTTGAAATAAATCGCAAATGTGTGCAATAAACTAATGTAAGTAGTAATAAGAATAACAAAACTTTTATATTAATTATATGAATACAGAAAAATTGCACTATTTTAATTTTATTTAGAATATAATAAATATAATAGAATTATTTCAAAATATTTTAAAATATTTCAAAATAATTTACAATAATTCAAATTAATTCGCAAAATACTAAATTTATTAAACTAAATATAATTTATTCAAATAAACAAAATTAATATTTTATAACTTTATTATTTTATTTTATTTAAAATATTACATATAAAAAATATAAAAAATAAAAAAGTACAGCATTATTCGTATATAAAAAACTAAACAAAAAAACTTTTACACATCAGTATTTATATTTTTCTCATAATCATCTTTCTCTTTTTCAATATCATCTTCTGAATCTAATTCCACTAGTTCATTTATTTTTAATTTTTAAAATTAAATTAAATTTCATGGTTGTGTATTATTTTGAAAAATTGCTAAAGTTTTAAATTTGTATATTAATAATTTTATATTAAAAAAATATAAAAAATAAAAAAATAGTATTATTCGTATATAAAAAAAAACAAACTAAAAAAAACTTTTACTTATTATTATTAGTATTTTTTCTTACAATCATCTATATCTTTTTCTATATCAACATCATCTTCCAAATCTAATTTCACTAGTTCATTGATTTTTAATATATTTTTTAATTAAATTAAATTAAATCGCATAGTTGTGCATTATTTTAAAAAATTGCTAAAGTTTTAAATTTGTATATTAATAATTTTATATTAAAGAAATATAAAAAATAAAAAAAATACAGTATCATTTGTATATAAAAAAAACAAAACAAAAAAAACTTTTACTTATTATTATTAGTATTTTTTCTTATAATTATCTATATCTTTTTCTTTATCAACACCTTCTTCTAAATCTAATTTCATTAGTTTGTTTATTTTTAATATTTTTTTAATTTAATTAAATTAAATCGCATAGTTGTATATTATTTTGAAAAATTGCTAAAGTTTTAAATTTGTATATTAATAATTTTATATTAAAGAAATATAAAAAAATATAAAAATATAGTATTATTCGTATATAAAAAAACAAATCAAAAAAAACCTTTACTTATTAACACCTTCTTCTGGCTTATTTTTAGTTTATATTCACTTCTAATTTTACTAGTTCATTTGTTTTTAATAGTTTTTAAATTAAATCACAACGCTGCACTTTATTTTGAAAATATACTAAATTTTTAAATTTGTATATTATTTACTAACTTTTAGTTTGAAGCAAAAATAATTTATCAAATTTGTTACTTATAGTTTAAATTTACGAAAATATATACAAGTTTGTGAAAGAGTTAAAATTATCAAAACAATATTAATTGTTAATCTATTTATATTCTATTTTTAGAAAATTTATATAGCAAGATACATATAATTTTATTTGTTATATGTACTTATTCTTTATTAAATTTATAATTATATTATTTAAATTATTAAATATTTTTAATAATTGCAAATTATTGCGAG